GGAAAGGTGGTACACCATGTGGGCATTGGCATCTTCGTCGGAGAAAATAACACCGTGCGAGGCTAGCCTACTGCGCAAAACAGCAAATCTCCCGAAGTATTCTTGGGGGGTCTCGCCTACTTTCATCTCAAGACCGTGGTATTGGGATGACAGTCTTTCCTTCTCCGCTCTGGCACGCGGCTCGTAATAGTTCAAGAATATTTTCCAACCTCCGCTTGGACTACCATCAGCGATGATCTGGGTGAGGATAGGCATGTATGTTACAGACGTGATGAGCAGGTTCCACGCCGTAATTGCCTTCTCTACGCTATCAGGCGAGTGCATCCTACGCAAGTCCTCCGTGTCTATTCCTTCTAGCCCAACTGGAATTCTGTGGTCACTCAATACCACTTCCCTGGCTCCTTCTTGCGCAAACATCGCAATCATGTTCGATCGAAAAATCAAAATCTTGCCTGCTCATCTTCCCCTTGCCTAAAAATCCCATCCCAAGGCGCTAGGCGCTTAACCTCAGTCAGGCGAATACTTCCTCCTGTATTGGGTACTCTACCGCTGTCCCGTGGTGATATCTGCAGGCGGCTGGTCAGCGCGTCGGCGAGAGTGCGGGCGATGTCATCTACGGCCGGGTTCGCCGATGGCCGCCCCGCTTGTTGCTGGTGGCGTGCCTCGTGCTCGCTTCCGGTCCGAACGTTCTCTGTCCTCTGCTCCTCCTCGTCTTGTTGCCGCCTTATGTCGGCCAGTCGTTGTTGTACCCTCATCTCCACCAACTCGTTGATGCGGGCGTCCTCGTCTTCTGCGTGACAGGCGCCTCGTTCTTGGTCGGCGCTGGACATCGGTGACAGCTGCTGATCGACGCAAAGCGAAACTCCAAACTAAGCTCGACACGAATCTCGTAGACGACGTGTCATACGCTAGCGTGATCGATAATTCGGGTGGCTCAGTTGTGTGCGATGGGAGTGTAGAGCAGCTCGGCCATTACGGGCCGTAGGGGTAGGTAACGTCGTGCAGACGCGTTGGAAAACGTGTTGTATAACGTGTTGTATTCATCGGGGGCGTGCTCGTGCTCGTCAAACCATCACGGTATCGAGTCACGCCTTCATGCTTTCTCACACAACGAATCTCTCTGAATCCTCACCAAAAGCCTCTCACAACCAAGGAAATATGTAGAAAGTTCCTGTTCCTCCTCCGCATCTCATCACTGCAATATTCGTACGTACGTACTTAACATCTCAACCATCATACTATGCTACGAGTATATCGAATAGAATATTCGTGGGCTTGCATTTCTCCATACCAAACCGCGCAAGAATGGACCTTGTGTAGTCGGCTCGTGTGATGGTGAGCGTACCATGTTCACGATCGCGAGTGACCTGCATCCCTAGCACAAGTGACACATTCCCCAAATCACTCATTTGGAACCGCTCCATGAGCTTCTTCTTAATTGCTTTTATCACTTCGATGTTTCCGCCGATGACGAGAAGATCGTCGACGTAGAGGGTGATGATCACAACCGTGTTGTTGCGCTTGTAGGTGTACACGCAGGAGTCCGACTTGAGTGGCTTAAACCCAAGTTCGATGAGTGTTGGATCGATTGTTTTCCACCAGTTCTGAGGGCCTTGAGCTAATCCGTATAGAATCTTGCCAAGCTTCGTTACAAGCTTCTCTCCGTTTGCGTTCCTGGCTTCGAAGCCAGGTGCCATCTTCACAAATACGTCCTCCTCTATGTCAGCATAAAGAAAAGCAGTTTTGACGTCAAGTTGACGTACCTCCCAGTCCATCTCAGCAGCAATGGCAAGCACCATCCGCACACTTTGCAGTCTGCAGACAGGAGCGAATGTTCCACCGCACTCCTTTCCCGGAATTTAATTCCAGCCCTGGGCTACCAGTCTCGCCTTGTATGTGCTGTCGGGCTTGACCTTGAACACCCATTTAGAACCAATGACATTTTGATTCTCAGGAACTTCAGATGGCGGAACGAGCGTAAAAATTTTTAGCTCTTGAAGACTCTTGATCTCCCTCTCGGCTGCTTGTTTCCATAAGTCTGCTTTCGCGAGCTCCATGGCCTCTTCGAAGGTGTCAGGTACATTGCTCGTTCCCCTAGAAGAGCGACTTTCGAGTTGGGTGCTTGTTGCTGCATAGGCGTACTCTACAAAGCCAAGCTGCGCATTTTTGTGCGCTACGTCGAGAAACTCCCCCTTCGCGAAAATAGGCAAGCTATTTTAGTTCGCGAACAGTTCTCGCCGTAGGCACACTCCCAGCGCGGGCAGACCTGTGACTTTTAGCACAGTGGATATGCTATAGTCTACATTACAAAAGTACAACCGATACAAAATTTAACACATAAGTCATTCGTCTACATAAGCAATAAGTGAGACAGGAGATGCGTGGGCATTTCCATAACATATTGGACGTGGACGGGACATCAAAGCGTACCTTCGCGCGGTGCGGTCCACAAAAGGAAGTGCGACGGGGTTCAGCTACATATTCCAGCACTCCGAATTGCCCCGCCAGCATAGCACTGTGCAGAAAAACCAGCAAGAGACCTGCTTCTGAGCCATTGGTGCAACCCAGGACATACGGTACGCACTACGCAGGCGACCTCACGCGGTTTCCTCTTGGCATCTAGATGCCGTGATGTCGTTTGCCCCTATCCCCGGAGCAGCCCGTTGTGACGTCATATTCCAACCGGAAATGCAATGTTCTCGGTGGTTCGCAGGCGAGATACCCCCGCAGCTCGGAAATCTGGAGCAGTTGGAGAATCTCCTGCTTAACGACAACCATCTCACAGGTTTGTTGCTTCATGTTGTGCATGTTGTGTCATCATCATCATCGCCGCCGTCGTCGTCGTTGTTGTTGTCGGTATTGATTTGGTGGGGTTGTTGTTGTCATAAAGTTATTGCAATACGCCCATCGAAGTATCGTGATCTTTGCGTGCGGTGATTCTGATGCTTGAACTCTTTGATTTGCTTGTTGTTCCTCCGCAGTTCCCAGCCAGGAGAATTTGGGCACGTAGGAAGGATTGTCACCTATTGGGGGAAACGATCCCTACGGGTAGAGTCGCAAGCCAATCGTGAGGAAAGCTGCAGCTGATTCCAGCGTGGAACTCGCCGAACGGCAGCATTCCGTACCATGCTTCGATGCGCGATGACGATACTCACAACCCCCCCCGCGCGCTCTTGACAATATCTGCTCTCGCTGGTGCCTCTACAGGGGGAATCCCTACCTCCCTGGGTAACCTTACATGGATGACAGCCCTTAATTTGGCGGACAACCGTCTCAGCGGTAGGTTTGGTCCTATCGCGGGTAGATGGAAACCCAATATGAATTCTCAGTACAATATGAATTCTCAGTACGGTAACAGGACGACGCCCACCGCCCCCGCGGCAATGCCTCTGACCCCTTCTATTGTGCAGCGCAATATATTGATGAAAACTAGCATCAATTCAATGCTTGACCTCTCATGTGCTACGCACACTCGATATCTCTGTGTGGGGCGAAGTCATGGCGTTTTCCCTCAAGAGCTACTACCGTTGGAAGTGCCTGTCGTGGAAGGGCCACGGGACGGGCGAGTGTTCAAATTTGGGAGGTGCTGTAGCAGAAGAGAAGACACAAGGGCGCCCAGGCACTCGTTTTCCCTTTTTGCTGATGTCGTTGCTGTTGTTGGTGGCTGTCGCTGCGTTGTGCACATGCTTCATTGTTACTGTGGTGTTCCTTGTTGTGTGGGATGTTGATGGTGGCCGTTTCGCTGCCGCCGTACTCGCTTCGAACACAGGAGAAATCCCAGAGGAGATCGGCCAGCTGGTGGTCCGCGGAAGCCTCTATTGGGTTCTTTGGCTCCAGAACAACTACCTCTCAGGTATTGCCTCTGTGGATTCACCGAGAGTTAAAAACAATGATCTCGCCGTTTCAAGATTTCTTCGTGGTGGCAATTGCGTCTGAAAGGGGCCGTCATACTTCTCTGCATTTGATGTGTCACCGCTCAAGTACGTCCGTGTCAAAATGTACTCAGATTCTCCGGTGGGAGTATACCCTAGATTGTTGCGCGAATGGAGCATAAAAGGCTGTAGCATTTATTAGGTCTGTTCCACTCGACACCCCTTGACGGTGGCATGTTCGATCGATATAGGGCCTTGTAGAAGCTCATGCGGAGCCTTGTACGCTCATGGCACCTCGCCTCTCGTGATGAAGAGAAAATCTGAATAAATATCTTCGCCACGTTTGCCTAAACCTTTCTCTCTTCTGGTTCGATGCCATCGTCATGAAAGCGAATGAACGGCCACATGGCGCGACCGTACCCTCTGTTTCCCGCCGTGCTTTTGTATTGGCCGTGATTTTGCTGTATGAAACTTTGCAGGAGAAGTGCCTGACGATATTCCGTACTACACTCCGACCACACTGTCTACAAACTCCTTCATCCTGAACGCGGATTTAACCGGAAACCTGCTCACGAACTGGCCGGACCAGAGAGACGGTGAGTAACGTTGAGGGATTTGCCTCTCGCAGCAGCCCGACAACGACGGGCTGTTTGTTAACATCATCAAGGACGTCGGCACCCCAATCAGTCCCCCAATTGAGAATGAATTCAGACAACACCGTTCCCATACCCTCTTGAAGAACACACACACTCTCTCTCGAGTACTGTCCCCCAACCACCCAGCCGACCGCCCAAACAAATGTCGTGGCATCTCTGTCTCCTTCCCCCGTCTGCTGCAGAGGGTGCGACGGCGCCACCACTGACATCATCCATGGCGGAGCGATCCGTGGGCACAAGCAGCGGCAGCTACAGCGGCAGCTACAGCGGCAGCTACAGCGGCAGCGAGGTAGACTTGGGCAATACCACCAGCGACGGCGACGACGAAGATGATGACGACGACGACCCCGACGGTAGCGTGGGAAGCAGCAGTGGTGCTTTGTCAACATCATCACCATCAATGTCGCCTTCCTCGTCTGGAGTTGACGATGCAGTTGCCGGGGCGACGTCGTCGTCATCTTCATCGACGACAGTGATAGCGGCGATCACGGGGGGGGTGGTCGGGGGCGTGGCGATCCTTGCCGGGGTGCTCATATTCTGCTGCATGCGCAGGAGGAAGGTTAGGAAGGACATCAGCCGTGGTGCGTCGGCGCCTAGCGATCACAACGTTCCGCCGGCGTCGTCGTCGGCTGCTGCGGCGAAGGTATTCTTGCCCTTGTCCGGCGCGCTCAGCGACACCTACGGAGACGAAGAGCAAGCCTCTTACTCGTGGACGAGAGGGAACACGTGCACGAGTGGAGACACCGGAGGCGGCTCTTCCTCATCACCAGGACCGCTCTTGACGACAGAGGCTGCCGCTCGCCTACGCGCGTCCGCCTCCTCCTTCTCAGCCCTCAAGAGCATCAACACCGATGATGACAACGCCGATCCTTTGCCATCGGCGTCCGCTACAACCACCGCCGCTAAGGCAAACAACGGCCTCTCCGCGGCCGAGTCTACAGCACAACAGTCTGCCTCGGGTACTGTTGCGGAGGGGGTCGGCACGACCGTGCTAGATATTGCCACAGCGGCCTTGGCGGGCGCGGAGGCGTTGGCGGAGCAGTCGTTTTTCCCGGGGGTGAGAAGCACGGAAAAACTGCCGCAAAGTTTTGTTCGTCGTTCGTTGCTGCTGCTGCTGCTGCTGCTGCTTTGCTCCAATTGCTGATGTGCTACGTCAGTGACGTTTCAGTTATGGTCTTCAGCGCCATCTCCTCTGACGTGTTGATCGTCAACTGTTCGTTCGTTGGTCTCCCGCTGTGAAGGTGAGGGAGGCGGCTTCCGTTGTGGCCGGGCTGGTGGGACTTGCGTCGGATCACAAAAACAACGGCAAGGAGTCAGAGAAAAGGGCGAGATGGTGCCGATCTATCGTGCATACGCTGGAGCGAGCCGCGGAGGTGCTGGGAAAGGCACGTGTCGGGCTCTATACCTTTCATTGAAACCTCAGCTGTCTGGGGGCTTTTGATTGTGCTCTATCTCCACTCTGCCGCATCCCCTGTAATACCCCATGCCCTTGCCTCAGATCTCTCTTGGTTTCATCGTGCTTGCTGTTGACTCTCTCTCTCTCTCTCTCTCTCTCTCTCTCTCTCTCTCNTCTCTCTCTCTCTCTCTCTCTCTCTCTCTCTCTCTCTCCTCTCTCTCTCGTGTGTCTTATTCTCTTTGTTTTACGTGACCAACATTGTTCGCGGTGCCTCCTTGATAGACTCCACATGATTCACCCTCCCGGATTGACTGATTCCACGTTTTGACTCCACGTTTCTCTCCGCCTTCCACGAAAATCTGACCGAAGGCCACGGTGAGTTGACCAACTGTTGCGCGCCGTGCCTCATTCAAGGCAGCATGCACGCTCCCTGATTCAGTGAAAGCCGCGAAGGAGAGGAAGTGTGATGTTGTGGGGTCCATTTTCCCGATCCGTTCCGTCGTCGGGTCGACGTAACCCTCTTGTCGATGAAGTCGTCATTGTAAAATTGCTCCCGACTTATTGCGGTTGAAACCTGGTGCAAACGCCAAACGCCACGGCGAGGCATTGCGCTCCCCCGCGATCCACGGTATGCCGTGTTGTTCCGTTCGTCCCTCGTTCTCTCGCGTCGTCCGTTTCAGGAGGCGAAGGGAGGAAAGGGAGACAGTCAGGCTGTGCATGTTCTCCTCGACGACGTCCAGGACTCCATCGCCGACTTGTTGCAGATCATCGAATCCTACAAGAGCAAGAACTCCCTGTCCAAGGTGTTCGTGTCCACTCTGTGCAAGAAACGCCAGGAGGAGGCGGAGGTCGCCATTAACGCTGCCGTGCAGCGGCTTCAGGTGCGATGTGTATAAGACGTATATATTTTCTTTTGGTATTTTTGCATTTGGTCTATATTGCTATCGTTTTGTTGTTGCACACCGTTGGTTATTCAATGCAACCCAGTGCTGGGTGAGAGGTTGCCTTTGACCCAGACATTCTCGGGTTCATCGTCAGCGGAGGCTCACCAACACGTCCATACGCCACCGTCGCTAGCATGTACTTTCCGAGACCCGGGCAGTCCACGATTTCAGACAGACAATTTCATTTGGGTAGTGTACCGCTATGTTCGTCCTCACCGTTTGTTGTTGCTGAGATAGACTGCCCTTAGGGCATGTATTGCTCTCTGAGAGTATCCCATGGGTCAGTTCCGGGGTGATCATGATCATTATTTGCCCCATATTTTGGCGGGCACTAGAGTTCGGGAAGAACTGTTCAAACTGCCATCAATAACATATCCTTGTTCCCTTCTCCCGGACTTGCGCACACATCGCATTGTCGGCAAGCTTGGTCTGCAAGTCCACGTGGGACAGAACCTGGCGTCCGTGGGAGAGGCGGTGCAGGAAGGCATCAACTTTCACCGACGCGCTTCTCGGGCAAGTCCCTTCGGGTATCGAGCATATCCACCAACGCATTATGCGGGCTGCGAGCTTGCCTCTCCTTTCCTCGCCTTTGCCGCCGAGCGTTGCATGCGCTACTTCGTCGGGTTTCAATTAAATACTGTGCTGCTTATGGGTCAAACGTCTGGGCTATGAACGGACTTGTCAGCAGCGTACAATATTTTTCTCGCCGCCGACGGGCCCAAGCACCCAATCAAGCACATGCGTCCTGTAAAAGTTGTACGCGCACGCTTACGTATACCGATGTTCTTTGTGGTCGGGTCGCGAACTACTGTGTTGTGGCTGACGGAAACGACAGGCCATCTGGGAGGTAGAGACATTGAGGGAGGATAAAGATGTAGGTATCGGAGTTTCGTGGTCGAGGCAACTGTAGCGTATCGCTCTACACTCAACTATCGCAATATCGTTGCATCAAGAGGCACGGGCATATCGTATCTTTCATCTTCGGGGAGGACGTGCAGGCACTCCTACCGTCTCGACCTGCGTAAGGTTGGGTATTCCTCATGTACGCACCATCAGTGAGTTCGACGAGGTCGCGACAACGCACAACGTTTGGCCCCTAGCGCTATAGCCGTTCCCCATACCCGCTACCGCTTCTGCCGCAACAGGAGTCCGAGATGGTGACGAAGAAGAAGCGCAGGCAGCATCGCCTGGACCAGCTGGAAATCCCCGCGTCGGACGTGGAAGTAACGAACGAAGTGCTGGGCAGGGGAGGATTCGGCACGGTTTATCTGGCCGACCTGCACGGCCTCAACGCCGCGGCCAAGGTGGTGGTCTTTGAAGACGAGGAGGAAGACGATGATGAGTACGATTGCACTGACTGTGTTTCCAACGGCACCGACGGTGTCCTCGACGGCGGTCATGGTGTTCTCGACTGTACCGGCGATGGAGAATCCCAAAGCCGATCAAAGCCCCAAACGAAGGCGGAGGCTGCGGCGATGGGACAGAGCCAGACGGAGAGCACCACAATGCCCACCGACTCACAGCAGCAACGGCTATCGCGTGTGTCACAGCAGTCGCAGGAACACCAGCGGCAGCGGAGGATGTTCATGCGCGAGCTCGAGGCCATGAAGCGCCTGAGGGGACTCCACACGGTCACGATCTACGGTGCCGTGACCAGCCTTCCTGATCGTCTCGTCCTAGTAAGCGGGAGTACCCCCCTCATCATGAGACGGTCGACTTGGCGGACGTCCATGATAGCGTCGATATCGAACATGAATGGGTGGTGCACGTTTGGATAATGTCATGGATATTGACGGTAGAGTCAGAATGACGCGTGAAGCGCTCCCCAGCAGTTGGTGTTGCGCATTTCTTTGATTACCTGTCATGCAAGGCAGACAATATTTTGAACGGCATCACTAGACAAGGCTCCAGTGCGGTGGATTGAGTGAGTTCGGTGCTGACTGGTGCCCTCTCGCAAGGCCGGCGAGAACAGATACACCGTCACTGTCATAGATTCATTAATGCCCTGCCACATACATCGCAAATCTTCGACAATTATTTTTGCGGTGCTTGCCTCCGCCGTATCGCACATCAAAACAGGTCATGGAGCTTCTGCAGGGCGGAGATCTACGCCATCGCCTGAAGAAGGCGAAAGAGCCGCTGGAAGAGAAGGTTTTGAGGAAGATCGTGAGGGACGTTTGCTGCGGGATGGCCTTCTTGCACGCCAAGGCGACCGTGCATGGCGACTTGAAGTCGGCGAACGTTCTGTTCGACGCCACGGGGAGGGCCAAGGTGCGCGATGTGTGCTCGTCTTTTCTGCTCTTTGTTGATTTGTACCGTCGTACTCTGAATATGCACGTGCTGCTTCGAACAGTGAACCCCGACAGATTCTTGTTGTTGCATACTGTTCGAGCAAGCGACCAGTCGATCCACGTGAGCTGACTCACCCATCATTCTTGCGGGCTGAGTGCGAAGGTCCCTGGGTGGTTTGGAGTGGTCGGACCCAGCACTGATAGAAACGGGATCGCTCGATAACGGTGTGAATCCTTGTGATCGTTGAATCCACCGAAGCAGGTATTCATTACCTACGAGCTCCGCTGCATTCATTCGTTGATTCGTTCTCAATCTGATGTCCTCCTACAACAGCGGTTCTTCTCTTTGCTCTGTTTCATTCTTTTCCATTTCCGATTTCATAAGTTTTGTGTATTTGCACGCTTTGGAACGGTCGCGTTTTTCGTACTCACTTTGTTATGGTAACGTATGCAACTTGGAATGGAACCCATTTCTGAATGAATGGAATGAGCTCCCCTATCTGGTTCATTTTTGGCGGGGAGGGGTTCCTGGGCCTGGCATGCTTTCTGGTTGGACCACTTGTCGTGCAAGGTAGAAATCATTCTTGCGGGTGGTATTGCTGTCGGTCGTTCTCTCTAGTTCTGACATACGCGTACAATATTGATTCGCCCCGTAGCTTGAGCAACTTCAGCTTTCCTTTTGGCATCGTGTTTCCCAAGGGGCTGGTCGAGAATCGGGTTCGGTCCGCTTGTGCCCCGCCCGTAGTTTTTTTGCGTCTGGACGGTGTAACCTTCATTCCTATGCAGAGGCTCCTTTGGGCAAGTATTTGCTTGATGTAGCTCAAAACGTGACTTTGTTTCAGCGTGAATTATGCGGTCATAACACTGTTTAATTTTGTCGGCAGCATGAGGTTGCGCAGTCCTCTGAATACTCACGATTATTATACATTCAGTTGCGTCTCACTACCGTTGCAATACGCAGATTGCCGACTTCGGAACGTCGCTTTGGACGCAGCACACGACACGCCTGGCGACGTACACGACCATGCCGAGAGAAATGGTCGGAATGAGTCTCCCATGGGCTGCCCCTGAGGTAGGCCAAAGCAATAACATGCTGACGGTATGCAGACGGCCGCCATTGCCTAAACTATAACGTGTGCTACCGAGGTAACGACTTTTTTGGCGGAAAATTTATAATTCCCGGCCAATTTCTTGACCAGCAACCGCCAGAAGAGACGATGCGCACGAAAGGCTCCGTGTATGTCCAAATCGGCAGCAAGATTTGTTTGCGTGGTCCAAAATAAGCAATCATTGGCGTCAAGAAGGCCTGTTGGACAATTGCTGATGCTCTCCGTTTTGACACCCTTGCGCTATGCCTTATTGATCGTAGTGGTTGTGGCTCGGGGGGCGCCCTTGTCCTTTGCTCAGCTTCAACTACCCCTCTATGCAGGCCTAGGATCGCGTACACTCCAGTCGTCTAGACGAAAGTGGCAGTTCGCGAGAAAACGATGTTTTCCATGAAGCACAAGCATGTTCCGCGATGTGCATCTTCTGCCATGTGAAATGCCGAAAACGGTATTTTCATGGCATATGGCTTTGTCGACCGTTTCGCGAGTTTCCTAATTGTCACCGCTGTCCCATGTCCTCCCCCACCCCTTATTTCGGTCTTCCAGGTTTTGAACAGACGAGGTTCCAGCTTCGAGGGCGACGTGTACAGCTTTGGCGTGGTGGTGTGGGAGTGCCTGTCCCGTAAGGTCCCGTGGAAGGGGGTCGCCGGGGTAGACAAGCTCGTGCTGGCCGTAACTGCCGGAGAAAGACCACCCATCCCCGAAAACGCCCCCCACGATATCGCTGCCCTGGCAAAAGCATGCTGGGTTCATGATCCGGCCGCTCGGCCCACATTCAAGAAAGTACTGGCCGACTTCACGCTAGGTTCAACCAACTTCGAAAGCGACAGCAACACCAGTAGCATCAGCATCAGCATCACGAGCAGCGGCAGCAACGGCAGCATCAGTAGCAGCGGCAACAACGACAACACAGCCCCGCAGAGCTCCTGAGCAGTAGGAATCTATTCACGAGCAAAAATGTTAAGTAGGATTATATTTTTATTCGAAAACGGCGGCGTGAATTTACTCAGATAAGGGCACTCCGTGCCGTGTATAGAACGTCCGGAAGATACTCGCCGTTCGTTGGATGTGGCGGTGGACCGTCCTCGCTTACGGAGGCGTTTTCCTAATGAATATCGGCGGTCCGCCCGTCAGTGCACATTTCTTAAGTTCAAAATGGGCGTGGGGTTGGGTAGGGGTTGCAGGCAGGGACGACGGGGATGCGGTCCCGGGGGAGGGTTCAATGAGAAGGGTACGGTTAGGTCACGGAAAACTGCCAACTACAATTTCAGCGTCCATGTTGAGTATTCTACGTGCGCATATGTAAATGTGGTGGCCGCGGGTTGCTGGATGTCACCGTTGTTCTGCTTTGGGGTGAATTCGATACACTCGGGCCAGCATGTATTTCCTCCTATCTAATGGCTTGCCGTCCCAATGATCGTCCGTCGTTGTTTGCTCATTGGCCAGTTTAGGATGTTGTATGCAGCTATTAGAAACGTTTTCCGTTGCGTTTGACATCTTCGCAAATACCTAGTACATTGTTTGCACGTGCTGCATGTGAATGGGTCATAGTCGATGAGACATGCCTCGCTTGTTGCCGAGGAGTCCCTTCGACTACTGTACCTCAGGAGGGGCTTCAGGGGGAGGAATTCTTGTGTATGACGACGTGTTGGAGCTCCTACCAGCTACCAACGGCAAGAATGTTGCGAGCTGCGAGCTGCGAGCGCTGCATTACAGTAAAGGACAAGGACAAACCTACCGTCTTGTAGTCGATGCTGATTGCCCGACGCACTCTCAAATCTCACAACAAGCGGGACGCGGATCCGTGATTACGTTGACCGCGCATCAAATCACCAGAATCGGTTGAGGTTTTACATCCATTTGCTCGGTTCCACATGCTCCCTCCTTTCACTACCTAGGCTATATGTTGACATATTGATATTATCATGCTTTAGAAGACTGCAACGAACGATATAGCCGACACGGAACCCAAATGCAGAACACAGAACCCCGTTCGCAGATTTGCAGACCTTTGTTTTATTCATGAGATATGACACCCGGCTAACATTAACTTACGTCACCCGTAGAGAGACCGGTAGCACACTGCTGCGTGCGATGTAGAATGTGCAGCGCTTCTTCACGAACAGCACCAGATGCACCAGCGACACCACAGGCGCGTTTCGCGGGATACTGTATGAACGGCGTTCTATTCCGAAAAAGAGAATTACTGCTGTCTCCCAGCTTGCTTAGGGCTGAAGGCGACGAGAGGTGTTGTCCGGACCCCACGCATCTGTAACACAACAACGTGTAGATACTCTTCGTTGGTGGTGGTCTTCACCCAGAAATCAACCGTAGACTACATCATTGAAAGGCGGTGACGGAGAGCGGCTGCATTCTCGCGCAGGGTGCACGAAGAGCCCAATGGCACTATACTAGGTATGGGGGGGTGATGAGCCGCGTGGTGCGACTCAATACCTTGCAGTAGTCTTATCTGCGATAATGCTGATAGCGCACGAATCCCGACATACACCAGCGTCAATCGTTTTTGGTGCAGCTACGCATGCACCACAGATGGACAGCAGGCGTGCGACAGGAGCGACGATGATTGTGTTGTTGTTGTTGTTGTTGTTGTTGTTTCTCACATTAGCTCTATAGTCTAGACTAGTCCACAAAAATGGGGAGCCCGTACGTGCGGCCACCGTTAAAAATTTTGCACGTACATGCGGTTGTGTCTTTCCGTTTTGATGCACATACCGGTCGCCCCGGTGGTCTAGTGGTGTCCTCGTAATCCGCTAGTCGCAGAGGTCGTGAGTTCGAAGCCCCATGGGGTGAAAAATTTACGAAATTTGCGGGTGAAAGCGAAATATAGCTCAAAAGCTCTCGTGAGTACCAAACTTCGATGTTAGCACCGTTGACGAGGGAAAGGGACGGCTGGACCCTTCTCGCGATAAAAACAAAAATCAGCACGCACCGCAGGAGGAAGGTGAGGCATGAAAAAAAACAAAAAGAAGAATGAAGCCCTGGCGTTTACCCCCTCCTGTGCGACCCTGGATGGTTGTAGTTGTGCGAAAAAATACACTGAAAAGTGTCGTACTCTACATACATACGCTGATAGAGTGTAGTACACGTCACCACGAAAAATGGGGGGACTGTCGCCATAATAAATAGGACGAAAACACACACACACATAGACTACCCGAAGAAAACAAAATATGAAGTCTTCCCGCCGTGCGGACGCAAATAATCACACAAGTACGTACATCTGGGCATCTGGAAGAAGTATAGACTAGTCTACATGCGGCATCCCCCTGGCGGCGAGCGTATCACACATAGCCTACATCACACCGTCGGGGAACACGACCAGCAGCGTAGAAATAGGATTGTGACACGATAGATGGCTCATATTGCGTCAGGCTCACAACTTGCCCGCCACATTCGTCTCAAGCCTTCCGAGTTTCCCGTCAAAGTGAAAGCAAACAGTGCAGCATGAACCAAAAACAACAAAAAACCGTTGATGGACACATGACGTCATGACTTGATGCGAGAGGCCGAGGGGCCGAGAGGCCATGCAGGGCTGCAGCAGCAACAACAGCATGCAGGGCACGGCTTTCTTTGCGAAGACAGTCAGTAGCGCGGCGCTAGTACGCAATCTGAACCGATCCCGCGGGAAACCATCCTCATAACGCACAGCAGCAGCAGTAGTAGACGCTCACGCCCTCGACGGATTCTCTCGATGATGGTAGGTGTGATCTGGATTTGTGAAGGTGTGTTATTTGTGTAGACTATGATCGGTCTGCAGTTGATTGGACCCACTCAACATCAATAAATACCCGCCAGGTTACACAAGACTCGCGATAAAAATATCTCAGGCAGGAACCGCAGGAGGGGGTCCAACCCCCCCCTCCTATGTGATCCCGGTTGGGTCGTCTAGCTGGTAGAAGTGGAGGATAGGGGCCAGGGGCAGACGACAGGGTCCAATGCTGGGAGAAAAAAAGAAAACCATGCTTCTCAACACCAAGTCGCCGACCATCGACCTGCATGCGGCTGACAAGGTCAAGCGGTGGCCCACGTGCGTGCCACTCGACGACATCCCATCTCTACTCGAGGTTGAGGAAGCGGTACGGGAAATGGCCAACAGAAAGGCCGTCGGGCCGGACGACCTACCGGCTGAGCTGATCAAGCTTTTCCTGGACGGAGATCAAGGTCTCCTCCGCGAGTTTCACGCCACTGTCGTGGACGTGTGGCAGACGGGGGACGTACCACAGCAGTGGAAGGATGCCACCATCAAAGTGCTGTTCAAGAAGGGGGACACGATGGAGTGCGGCAACTACCGGGGCATCTCTCTCGTCGCCCACGCCGGCAAGGTGCTGCTGCTTATCGTCGTCGCTACACCATTGAGCCACTACTGCGAGCGAGAGGGCATCCTCCCGGAGGAGCAGAGTGGTTTCCGCCCACAGCGGTCGACGCTCGACTATGTTCGCCATCCAGAGGCTCCATGAGCTCGTGAGGAAGAAGAGTACTGCGGTGTTCGCGTGCTTCGTCGACCTCGCCANTGCGAGCGAGAGGGCATCCTCCCGGAGGAGCAGAGTGGTTTCCGCCCACAGCGGTCGACGCTCGACTATGTTCGCCATCCAGAGGCTCCATGAGCTCGTGAGGAAGAAGAGTACTGCGGTGTTCGCGTGCTTCGTCGACCTCGCCAAGTGTTGGAGTAATTGCAGTACAAGAACGACTCTATTCTACTGCATGGGTTTATGCAGTTTTGTGAAGGCGTTGCCAAGTCTGTAACCGTCAGGTGAAGACAGCTTGGGCGTCTGTATGGATAAAAATATCACTCTGTGTGTTTGCCCACCTAACCTCGCATCACATGCTAGCTACTTTGTAGCCACAACTGGAGGAATAGCGGTACAGCGACTGCAGTGACAGTGCTGTTGCCTCAACAGGTTTTGAGCCTCAAGTTGCTCGAGCTTGGACACCAGAGTCACCAGAGTCGGTAAGCATGGATGGCCACCGGCTCGTCAGACGAGATCCGAAGCGGATTGGCCAAGTTCAGTGGTGACCCAGGCGACAACGTCGGCTGGCGAACCCTGCAGACCTCCTTGTTAATGGAGGACAAGCTGCACAAGGTTCTGTTGGGAGTGGAGAAAGCCCCTTCGGATCCCGGACCTAGTGCTACGCCGGACCAGACTTCGGCATGCCAATCTGCCCTGGAAGGGTACCAGGACAAAAACGGACAGATCTTTACACGGCTGATGCTCGCCACATCTGAAACCGGGGGCTACCAGAGCACGGCCTCGCAGACTGTGCAGGCATACGCGCCTATCGGATCTTCCTACAACGGAGACGGGCGTGGAGCCTTCCTCGCCCTGGAACGAAAGTACCAGGCCGCTGGGGCATACCGTACGCAGGAGCTGCACGAGAAGTTCATATCTTTGGCAGTTACTGCGGACCACGACTTTGACCCGGCCAATCTTATTCAAGATGTTGAGTAGCTTTGTGCGTGTGTGCCTCGGCGCGGGGTCCCGTGGTGGGAAATAAATGTGCCAGCAGCTGGGTACTGCCAACGGTGAAGAATGTAGAACTATTTGCGGGCGTGAGAGCCCTCTCGTGGTGGAGCGTGGAAGCTCGGGTATGGTATAGTCTTTGGCGTGGTATAGNAAGAAGTGAGACACCACAAGCCACGCACACAATTCCGCTGTAGACACCCATACCCTCAATCATGCAATATGTGGTAAATTTGGTACCACCAAATCTAATCCATACCAACTGTTGAACCCCCGGATCTCCCCGCTCCATCTGTTCGGAAAATTCTGACTCGAAATAATCTGTCATGCTGTGAGTACATCCAACACAAGACACGCGCCAGATCTGCAAGGAGCTCGCCGTGTATTACGACACTGTGGCTGATCACCGAAAGACGTTCGCTTTCCTAAAAGCACTGCCGGACGACCACTACAAAGAGTTCAAGACAGGACTACTGTGCGGCCAAGCTGCTGGGAGCGTCTTGTCCTTCGAGGAGGTCGCCGACCGAGCCACTTCGTTCCACGCGATGCACATTCGTGGTAAAATTGCGTCGAAGAACGCGTCCGGAAGCAGCAGCCGTGCGCTGAATACCGTCACACACGGCGGAGCGCGTTCTTTCCGTAAGGGCGGCGGTCATCATGGTCGTGGACGCGCGCAGCGCGGTGGACAAGGAGGACGTGGCAGCTGGAACAACTCGTCGAACCGTAACAACGGGTCCACGAGGGGGAACAACAGCAACGACCAGAACCATGGCGGCGCGACTTCTGGCGACGGAGCTGGTGCGTCTTCCGACAACCGGTCCTCTGGACGGCCGAACCACACGCAGCAAAAACGCGGGTACGACAGGGACGGCCTATGCAGTTACTGTCACAATTCTACGGAACACACCTGGACGAACTGCCCGCTTCGCGCCTCCAATGCCACGCGGTTTTCGAACCGTGAACAACAGCAACCGCAGCAGCAGGTCAACACGACCGCGGAAGCCACGACACAGGCGTGGCTCACGCACGCACGCGAGGTAGACCTCACGCTGGAATCATTCGACATCGCCATAGGCGATCCCGAGCAGGTGCCGTTTGCGCCTGCTGCATCGACCCCTGAGGAGGCGCCCGATGCAAATGTCGGGCAGGTGCTGGCTGCGCTTGCCACAGCTTCGCTACAATTGTTGGAGCGTGCTGTCCCATTGCAGGTGCCGATTGCGCCTGCCACAGCAGAGGAAACCGAGGAGCCTGCTGCCTCCTACGAGCAGGAAAAGGACCCGCCTGCCGCGATACAGCATGAGGAGCTGGTCGCGTACACCAACGTTTTTCGTGCAGTGGACAAGACAGCGCCCGCCGAGAATACGAGGGTGTTCATCGACACCGCCGCTTCGGGACACATGGTAAGCGGCGAGAGCCCAGTCTCACAACATGTAGTCGACTTGGTTGACTGCGACGTCCGCATCAAGGGTTCGTGCGGCACATCCAGCGCCACCAAGAAAGGTACGCTGAAGTTCAAACTCAAGAATGACAAAGGTCAACCCGTCCCGATAAAGTTGGAGGTGCTGCTTGTGCGGGACCTTGGGGCAAACATATTTTCTGTGNTACACCAACGTTTTTCGTGCAGTGGACAAGACAGCGCCCGCCGAGAATACTAGGGTGTTCATTGACACCGCCGCTTCGGGACACATGGTAAGCGGCGAGAGCCCAGTCTCACAACATGTAGTCGACTTGGTTGACTGCGACGTCCGCATCAAGGGTTCGTGCGGCACATCCAGCGCCACCAAGAAAGGTACGCTGAAGTTCAAACTCAAGAATGACAAAGGTCAACCCGTCCCGATAAAGTTGGAGGTGCTGCTTGTGCGGGACCTTGGGGCAAACATATTTTCTGTGGGAGCGTTGGATGAGAAGGGGGTGAAGACGGATCTACTTTCGGCACCTCCGGCCCTGCGAAGCCGGAACCTGTCTTTTCCCATATCAACATCAGAGGTGCCTCAAATGTACGTCGTGAATCTCATCCTGGACGACCTGAATCTCGACCTGCCTAGTTCTAAGCTCNACGGATCTACTTTCGGCACCTCCGGCCCTGCGAAGCCGGAACCTGTCTTTTCCCATATCAACATCAGAGGTGCCTCAAATGTACGTCGTGAATCTCATCCTGGACGACCTGAATCTCGACCTGCCTAGTTCTAAGCTCGTTTTCCGTGCCGATACCGATGCCGGTGTCTGGCACCGGAGGATGGGACATTGCAATGCGCGTGCCGTGAAGCAGCTCTCGGATAAGGAAGGCACCAGCATCAAGTTCACTACCAACATTCGACCAGGTGACTGCGAAGTGTGCGATGTATCTAAAAGCAAGAAGGCGAGTCACCGCCCAGTTGGCCGCGCCCGTTCACCGACGCGAATGATGCTTATGCATCTGGACCTGTGGGGGAAACATGGTGTGCCATCGTACAGCGGATGTCAGCATATCGCAATGTTCACCGACGATAAGTCTCGCATGCGGTGGGGCATCCACCTGAAGATAAAGGATGAAGTGACTGACGCCCTCGAAGCCCTGATTAAAGAAGTCGCCGACCCCGAGGGCATCTGCATCGGGAAAATCCATTGCGATGGCGCAGCCGACTTCAAGGATAGGTTGTTAGCAATGTGTCGGTCCTTCGGGATTGCTGTGGAGACAAGCCCCCCGTACGTCCCTCAAGGGAATGCTGTCGCCGAACGTGGTTTCGGGACTGTCATCGGTGCAGCACGTAACCTCATGCTTGGAGCTCCGCACCTGCCGCGTCAACTGTGGGCGGAAGCCATGAAGGCCGCCATTTACATCAAGAACCGCACACCTACTGACGTCCTGGACGACAAAGCACCACTTGTNGGGCATCTGCATCGGGAAAATCCATTGCGATGGCGCAGCCGACTTCAAGGATAGGTTGTTAGCAATGTGTCGGTCCTTCGGGATTGCTGTGGAGACAAGCCCCCCGTACGTCCCTCAAGGGAATGCTGTCGCCGAACGTGGTTTCGGGACTGTCATCGGTGCAGCACGTAACCTCATGCTTGGAGCTCCGCACCTGCCGCGTCAACTGTGGGCGGAAGCCATGAAGGCCGCCATTTACATCAAGAACCGCACACCTACTGACGTCCTGGACGACAAAGCACCACTTGTGGTTTGGGAGGACAAACCACTCGGCAGCTTGAAGCACATGCATGAGTGGGGGTTTGTAACGTTTAAACACGTAGAAGCTCGCTTGCGAAACAATAAGTTTTCTGCTAGGGCGAAGAAGTATTACATGGTGGCATACAATACAACCAGCAAGACGTGGCGGCTATGGGACCCGGCGGAACCACTCAAAATTACAAACTCTGCTGAAGTGTCATTCCGCGAGGTAGATGCCCGCGACGTCGCTCGCCCCATGCACGGGTCTGACCCATTTCCCGAACAATGCCAGATTTTCCAGCCCGGCATTATCACTGGGGCCGAGACAAGAGACGAGGAACCAGAACCGGCAGACACGAACGACGGACCGGACGAAGAACCGCCCGCGGTGCGCAAAAGCGGTCGCACGACAAAGCTGCGGGACCGTCTGAACCTGTTTACGACGGAGCAGGTGTTCGAAACAGAATACGCACTGGTGATCGGAGGTGAGATCGGGAACCTTGGTCAAGGGATACCTGGCCAACTAGGATACATGCCCGCCGATCCACCGAACTACCGCGCAGCGGTCAACGGACCAGATGCCGTTGGATGGATGAAAAGCATGGAGGAGGAGAATCGCTCCTTCCTAGACCACGACGTTTATGAGTGGGTCGATCCCCCGCGCGATGCTCAAATCATCCCGTCAAAATACACCTACAAATGGAAGTACAACGAGGCCGGCATCGATGTGCGACAGAAATCGAGAATCGTAGTGCAAGGATTTCACGAAACTGAGACCGGAACCGACAATGCTGCACCGGTAGCGTCTCTCCAAGCCGTCCGTCTGATCGTTGCGCATGCTGCCAAGAATGGACATAGTCTTCGCCAAGCCGACACCAGGACGGCGTTCCTCCACGCGAGGATGGAACCGGGATCGAAATCAGTGTACGTCATTCCCCCGGAGGGATTCTCGTGCGACAGCGAGTGAGCCAGGCAAGTCTGGAAGCTCAGAGCGTGGCTTTACGGGTTGCGTTTTTTCCCCAAAAGGCCGGTGGGGCACTCTGCACGATTTTCTCCTGAAGATCGAATTTGTTGAGGGCACCGCTGAACCGTACGACGGAGATGTGCTCCTTCTCGTTTATGTGGATGATATTCTGCTGACCGGGGAGGGCGAGAACAAAGCGCTGAGCATAGTAGATCAGCTGAATGAGCGTTTCGAAACAGTGGACCTGGGAGGAGCCAGATTCCTGCTCGGTATGGGAATCAACCGAGACAGAGCCGCAGGGACAATTCTTTTGGAACAAGAAGCGTATACCAACGCAGTGTTGGACAAGTTCGGCATGGCCGACGCGCGTCCGACGACATCTCCGTCTGAGGCTGGACCGGTGTCCGTCTTGGAGGACGAGGTGATGTCAGCGGAGGATACCACATATTTCCGCTCCGCCACAGGCTCGCTTAAATATCTCAGCAGGTGCACAAGGCCCGACATTACTCACTCCGTGATGGTTCTGACGCGGAGTACGGCGAAACCAGGTAAGAGGGTGATGCAGAAACTCAAACGCGTACTCAGGTACCTGAAAGGGACGATATCAATCGGTGTACGCTACGGCGAGGATGCCGAAGATGGAAACGTCATTACCGCGTTTGTCGACTCAGATTTTGCAGGCGACCTAGACAAGGGCTCCTCCACCACGGGAGTCGTCCTGTACTTCGCTGGTGGACCGGTGGAATGGACACTATCCAAGCAAACGGTGGTGGCGACCTCTTCCGTTGAGNTCAATCGGTGTACGCTACGGCGAGGATGCCGAAGATGGAAACGTCATTACCGCGTTTGTCGACTCAGATTTTGCAGGCGACCTAGACAAGGGCTCCTCCACCACGGGAGTCGTCCTGTACTTCGCTGGTGGACCGGTGGAATGGACACTATCCAAGCAAACGGTGGTGGCGACCTCTTCCGTTGAGGCAGAGTTCGTGGCTTTGTCAAAGGGGTGCAACATCATCAAGTACTTCCGCCACCTGCTGGACACCATAAATCAGACTCAGGAGGAAGCAACCGTGGTGTGGGAGGACAACTCGGGAGCTCTGAAATTAACTCGCAGCTTCCGTATCACCCCAAGGACAGGGCACATTGACGTAACGTTTCACCACGAAAGGTCGCTGGTAGCTGATGGAGTCGTAGGCGTGAAGCAAATATCGACGTCGCTTCAGAAAGCGGATATTATTACACAAGGGCTAACCCCGTCGGACNGATGAAGTCGTAGACGTGAAGCAAATATCGACGTCGCTTCAGAAAGCGGATACTTTACGAAAGGGCTAAACCCGTCGGAGTTTCTCCGCGCCGTGGCATGCTGTTAGGAGTTTGATCACCTCCCCTCTTCGTAATCAGGCTTTATGTCTTGAGGGTTGGATGGTGTATGTGTGTGTATATGTTTAAAGAATATTCGGGAGATTTGTGCTGAAGGAAATCATTCGCTGCTGATGCAACGCAGCTGAGAAAGGCAGAACAATTGAAAATAAGTCAGAAGATAACATTGTTTCGAGAGGACATGGATATTGTTTCGAGAGGACAGTGAGAGAGAATTGGATCTGATGCATTGGTACTAGAATGACGTAGTTCTTGAGAGGACATGTTGGAATAATTGCAGTACAAGAACGACTCTATTCTACTGCATGGGTTTATGCAGTATTGTGAAGGCGTTGCCAAGTCTGTAATCGTCAGGTGAAGACAGCTTGAGCGTCTGTGTGGATAATAATATCACTCTGTGTGTTTGCCTACCTAACCTCGCATCACATGCTAGCTACTTTGTAGCCACAGCTGAAGGAATAGCGGTACAGCGACTGCAGTGACAGTGTTGTTGCCTCAACACCAAGGCATACGATTCGGTGGACCGAGACCTACTGTGGGACGTGCTCCGACGCTTCGGTGTGCCCCCGAGGATGCTGGCGGTCATTCGCCACTTCCACGAAGGCATGAGAGCGCGCGTCCGAACGGACGACGGGCAGTACTCGGAATGGTTCCACGTGGGCCAAGGCGTACGACAGGGATGTAACCTGGCCCCGCTGCTGTTCAACTGTTCTTTGCCGCGATGCTCATGGTCGCCGTGGCCGAGTTCGACAAGGACCCCAAGGTGACGGAGGACATGTTCAAGATCGGGACACAAGTGGAACACACGGGCAAGAAGGGCAGGTGGGCGGGGAAGAAGACGACGGTGGTGACGGACGTGGAGGCCCTGTGGACCATGCTCTACGCTGACGTCTCGCGCTCGCCGGAGAGTGTCGAGAAGATGATGTCGGTCATCGCGCGCGTGGCCGGCCTGTTCGGACTGATGGTATCGGAGCCAAAGACGGAGATCATGTGCATGCTGCCGAAAGGGATCGAGGAACGCCCGTTCACGGTCAGCGCCGCCGGCCAGACGTACAAGCAGACAGATCGGTTTGTGTACCTCGGACGTACCATCTCCGCGAACGGGAAGGCCGACCGGGAGATCACAAGCCGCAGCTGCCGAGCGTGGAAGTGCTACCGCCGGAACAGTGCTTCGATGTACGACAGGCGACGGGCCGACCGCCAGCTCAAGATCCGGCTACTCGAAGTGGTGGAGACTCTCCTATGTGGGTGCGCCTCGTGGAGCCTCGGAGCACTACACGAAGCTCAATGGGCCCCACCGCCAGTTCCTTACACGGTGCATCGGCTGGAGCAAGCGGAAACGCTCAGACCGTCTTATGCCCAGGCCCTCATCCAGGCAGGCTGCGAGGAAACCATTGAGGCCACCGTACGCAAACGTAGACTGCGTTTCAGGGGCTTTGTTATGCGCATGGAGGACAACCGCCTCCCCAAGCGCATGCTGTTAGGAGCGATGGCGGGGGGCGTGGGATACCGGGGCGGGCAGGAGAGCGACTGGGTGTCTCGTCTAGGAGAGGACCTCGTGGCCTTCAACATGGGAGACGAAAAGGAAGGGGGGAAATGAGCGCCAAGGACCCGGAGGTGTGGTACAACAAGGTCGAGGACGGGGCGGCATGGCCCATGAGGAAATGGCACAGCCAGGAGGTGGAAGCGTCCGCGAAACGCCAGCGCGCGTGGGAAGCAGCAGGGAGCACGGCCATCTCAGGACCGAAGCGAAAGAGAGTCGGGGAAGCGGTGGTGGGGGGGAAGAAACGGCGACCGGGCACTGTTGTAGAAGCGAGTAGGGCGGCCGAGGCAGCACTTGTGGCGAACTATGTACCCGGCTGATGTTCTTGCGCCCTGTTTCCCTCCCTGCTGTATGCTATACTCCATTGTGAATGTCCTTTGTATTGCCTTCGGCCTCTGTGCTGTTTCTTTTTTTCATGTCCTCCCTGCCGACTCTGCTGTGTTGGGTACCTTGATCTCGCTTTTGCTGTTGCTGTTGTTTTTTGAACATCTGGCTGTCTGCCCATCTGCCGCCTCTTTGTCCTGTTTGCTCCTTTACTCCCATGCCCTGGTGCGTAGTGCCTGGTGCTGGTACGTTACCCTTTGATTTTTTCTTTAGGTGGGTGTGGGAAGCGTCCTCCTTTATTCTTGTTTTTGTTTGTTTTTGATGTATTGCCGAGGGCTCTTTTCTCGAACGGTCGGTGCGGTACCTGTTATTTCCTTTCTATCATTATTTTATCTTTTTCCGAGTGGTTTGTACCCTATTTTTGTTTTGTTTCCCCGCGGCGTCGTATTTGCCGGGTTTTGAGACCACGGGCTCCCCATTTTTTGTGGACAACAGAGCTAATGTGAGAAACAACAACAACAACAACAACAACAACATGGCGCATGCCTACAGCAGTATACCCACTGTGCACAGGTCGTACAGGCCCGGCCCCTCCTGGTTTTCATAGCTGGTCTCAGACCAGCGTCTCAGCGGTGATGCGTTCGTTGGTGGAGTTCCTGCGTCTTTGTCGGTGTTTCTTGTATCGCGCGCCCGCGATCTCCGCTTTTGTGCACGCCTTTTCGCATAGAAACCCCGGGGTTGGGGAGCACAATCTCCTACGAATGAATATAGGCTACATGTGCCGTTGAAGCAAAGCCATTTGCTCTCGGAGCACGACGAAACCGGTGTGGAGAAGAGCGCGTTATTTTTCTTCTGTTCGTGAGTCTGCGAACATTGCTGTTGGATACATGTGCTGGATGATTTTGTGTCACGCAGACTGGTAAGATAACCGTTTGATAGGGGGCACCGCGATGATTCACGGGACCCCTCCGTGCTGTGGGAGCCGCTCTTTGAGCACTCCCTCTTTCGTCCGTGTGAAGGACGGTCGTCTACCTCCCGTGAAGTTAATACATCACCAAAACAGTCTCACCCGATAAATAAGTGGCGTAGGCCGCAAAC